TCCGTGTGTGGATCACAATCCTCTGAACGTGTTCTCTCTTGTTCCCTCGCTAGATATCGGGAGTAACACTCAGGATCCATGTGTGGATCACAATCCTCTGAACGTGTTCTCTCTTGTTCCCTTGCTTGATATCGGGAATAACACTCGGAGTCAGTGTATGGATCACAATTTTCTGAAGGTGTTCTCTCTTGTTCCCTAGCTCGATATCGGGAGTAACAATCAGGATTAGTGTATGGATCACAGTTCTCTGAGGCTATTCTCTCTTGTTCCCTAGCTCGATGTCGGGAATAACACTCAGGATCTGCATATGGATCACAATTCTCTGAAGGTGTTCTCTCTTGTTCCCTAGCTCGATATCGGGAATAACAATCGGGATCAGTAGATGGATCACAATTCTCGGAGGCTGTTCTCTCCTGTTCCCTAGCTCTGTATTGGGAATAACACTCAGGATCCGTGTATGGATCACAATTCTCTGAAGGTGTTCTCTCCTGTTCCCTAGCTCTGTATTGGGAATAACACTCAGGATCCGTGTATGGATCACAATTCTCTGAGGCTGTTCTCTCCTGTTCCCTAGCTAGATATCGGGAATAACATTCGGGATCAGTGTATGGATCACAATTGCTTGTTGCTCTTCTTCTGTAACAATAAGGGTCATGTTCCGGATCGCAGTTTCTGTCGTTTTCAGGTACACGATTATGTTCTTCATTGCTATGACAGTTGGGGTCATAGGGGTCACAGTTATCATCTGTCTGAGATTCATGAACGGGATAACAATCTGGGTGGTAATAGAGATCACAATCATAACCTTCTTTTGTTTTACCTTTGTACATAGATTGGGGCCTCCGACAGTTACGATCATACTCAGGATCACAGTCACGATCTGGGATAGCTTGGTCAAGGGATTTTACGTTTCGTCTACAGTTGGGGTCACGATAGGGATCACATTTAAATTCACTTCTACCACCATATACAGACCTATCAGATCTGCAGTAAGGGTCATACCTGGGGTCACATTCAGAATCTGGTGCAGGCTCATCTTTAGGGTGATATGCCAATTGACAGTTGTGATCATAGTATGGGTCACAGTCATATGGGTTCTTATATGCAGCCAAGGTGGAGCGGCAGTATGGATCCTTTGCAGTGTCACAGGCAGAGTATGTGGAATGCACTTCTTTCTTTGTTCTTGGAAAGCAGTTAGGGTCTGAATATGGATCACATGATTGTTTTAAATAGGCAACCAGTACTTGACAGTGTGGATTGTTTGGATCATATGGATTACAATACTGGTTTACTAACTGAGCATATTGTGCATAAGTATAAGGTTGTTGATTACACTTTGCATCAGAACGGGGATCACAGGCATATGCTGATGATGCGTACTTATAATATGAATCAGGTTTGCAGTTGCGATCTTTATAGGGGTCACATGATTGAACCTGGTATCTGCAGTTGGGGTCTTTGTATGGGTCACACTGTTCTGCTCTGCAGTATGGATCTTTCTGCGGATCACAGGGGTACTTTTCAGTTCTACAATATGGATCTTTCTGTGGATCACAGGGGTATGCTTCTGCTCTGCAATAAGGGTCTTTCTGTGGATCACAAGAGTATCCTGCTGCTGTTCCACAATATGGATCTTTCTGTGGATCACAGGGGTATGCTTCTGCTCTGCAATAAGGGTCTTTCTGCGGATCACAGGGGTACTTTTCAGTTCTACAATATGGATCTTTCTGTGGATCACAAGAATATGCTGCTGCTGTTCCACAATATGGATCTTTCTGTGGATCACAGGAATATGCTGCTGTTCTGCAATAAGGATCTTTCTGTGGATCACAGGAATATCCTTCTGCTCTGCAATAAGGGTCTTTCTGTGGATCACAGGAATATGCTTCTGCTCTGCAATATGGATCTTTCTGTGGATCACAGGAATATGCTTCTGCTCTGCAATAAGGGTCTTTCTGTGGATTACAGGAATATGCTTCTGCTCTGCAATAAGGGTCTTTCTGTGGATTACAGGAATATGCTGTTGCTCTGCAGTATGGATCTTTCTGTGGATCACAGGAATATGCAGCTGCTGTGCAGTATGGATCTTTCTGTGGATCACAGGAATATGCAGCTGCTGTGCAGTATGGATCTTTCTGTGGATTACAAGAATATGCTTCAGTTCTGCAGTATGGATCTCTGTATGGGTCACACTGCTTCTGAGTATATGCTGCTTGTTTGTGGGGAACAGTTGGCTGACAATCGGGATCTTTTGTTGTGTCACATTCCTCTTCTCGCAGACGCTGCAGATATGCTTGATATGCCTGACGGGACTGATCTCTGCTCCTGTCCTGAAGATATTGTAGATAAACCTTGTCCATTTCATGCACCTGAAATAAATGCAATAACAGTGACAAACAATAGAGGTCGCTGAGGTTTGGCACATTTTAATCCTTTTTAATAACTTAAAATTACTGGAAAATAGTTTTTATTCTTCTCTGATAAATTGCAATTTATAATTCTGTTATTCTTCACTTTATTTTTATCTGATGCATTATTCCTCAACCTGGACTTTTAATC